CCACTTGATTGTAATGCCAAAGTTTATTGAGGGCTTTTCACACCTGTTTGAATACATTTAATTTATTTCACTTTAACCATGTTTTTTTTTACAATAAAGTTTTATTTGAATTAACATATAAACACTTATGAAATCCAGGTGTAGGAGGCTGAGGCAGGAGGATAGCTGAAAGTTTGAAGTCAGCCTCGTTTACACAGCCAATTCTAGTCCAGCCACTGTCTCAAAAAACAAAACATGAATCTGGAATCCGTCTCTGCTCCATGGGTGATGGACTTTAGTCCCCTACGCTAACGGAAACCTAGACCCAACCCTAGAGTCCAGGTGTCTGAGTTTTTGCAGTAGCCTGTGGCTCCTCCAGTATGGTAAATCATCCCTAACTACTACAGAGATCGCTGGGAAGTGCAGGAGGCTCCTCTTATTTGATAAAACGGAACTTACCCAGAGCGCAGAGGGGAAATGAAACTCTTCTCTATTTTTGAATTTCTCAGATATGACCACCTGATGGTTAGCAGTCTCCGCCTTCCAGCTCCCACTACACTCCTTTAAATTTTTTTTTTTTTAAAATGGGATGCTTCTTGAATTTTCGTGTCCCCCTTGCACAAGGGGCCACACTGGTCTTCTCTCTGTTGTTTCAGTTTCAGTAAATGTGCTACCCAAGCGAGCACTTCCACTACACTCTTTACGCCCCCCCCCCTGCCCCCCACAGTGATAGGGAGTGAACCCAGAGCCTCCCACATGCTAAGCAAGTGTTCTGTTGCAGAGGTGTGTATACCTCAGCTCCACAACGCTCGCTGGTGGCCTCCGGGGAGGAATCCGTTAGCCTACAACTTTTCTAGACAGTGTTCTTTCCGGCTATGGCGCACCCTGCTGCTACCAGAACTCCAAAAGGCAGCTCTTCGCGGTTGTAACCCCCTTTTCCTTGGAGCCAAAGAGGATGGTTCTTCTGGCTGTAGCTCTCCTGGGGAAGAAAATCTTGTGATTTCTTGACGGACCCCAGGTTCCTACAATTGTGTGTGCCATACCAAAGCCTTCAGAAACAGTGATTGAGTGAATAGACTTTGCCATGATCTAATTTGAAACTCAGCTTTTCTTCATACATGCTGTGGGACCTTGGACAGTTTTTCTTTCCATTTATTTGTTTATTTATTATATTATTTGTTGAAATGGTCTCTTGGAGGCCCAGGCTGGCCTCAAATTCACTATATAGCTGAAGCTGGATTTGAACTCAAAAAGTTTGTTTGTTTGGTTTGGTTTGGTTTGGTTTTTCAAGACAGGGTTTCTCTGTATCAGCCCTGTCTGTCTGTCCTGGAACTCACTCTGTAGACCAGGCTGGCCTCAAATTTACAGAGATCTGCCTGCCTCTGCCTCCCGAGTGCTGAGATCATAGGGATGTGTCAACAGGCCTGGTGCATACAGTGCTGAGACCCAAACCCCAAGGCTTTGGGTATGCGAGGTAAACATTCTACCAATAGAACCACATCCCACAGCCCAATTTACTTTACTCCTATTTTCTACAAAATGAGAATAGAGTACAAGATGTTCAAATACCTTTCATTTGATTCATTATGACTTCATTGATCTTAAGTTAATGTTGGCCAAGTACTAAGTGATTTTTACATTTAACTTTTGTACTTTTTTTTTTTTTTGTAGTGCCAGGTGTTAAACTTGGGGCCCTCGGTATGTTAGGCATGTTCTCTGTACTGAATCTCATTCCAAAACCTTTTTATTTTGATTAAGAAATTATTGCATGCCAGTCAGTGGTGACACACACCTTTAATCCCAGCACTCAGGAGGCAGAGGCAGTCGGATCTGTAGGATCCTGTAGGAGCTTTCCTGTCCCACACCTGCTCTCAAATAAACACAGAGGCTTATATTAATTATAACTGCTCGGCCAATAACTCAATCTTATTACTAACTAGCGTTTATATTTTAAGTTAGCCCATATTCCTTATTTATGCTCTGCCACATGGCGGTACCTTTATTAGCATGGCATGTTCATTGCCTGCTCCCGCTGCATCTGGCTGGCGACTCCAGACTCCTCCCTTCTTCCTCCCGGCATTCTCCTTAACCTTATTCCGTTCAGCTATTGGCCAGTCAGCTTCTTTATTAAGCCAATCACAGCAACATATGTTCACACAGTGTAAAGGAATATTCCGCAGCACAGATCCCTGAGTTTGAGCCCAGGCTGATGGACAGAGCAAGTTCCAGGACAGCCAGGGCTATACAGAGAAATCCTGTCTCAAAATAAATAAATAAATAAATAAATAAATAAATAAATAAATAAATAAATAGATAAATAAAATAAAAATAAAAAATAAAAACAAATTATTGTGCTATTAATAATATTATTGTGGTGGCGCACGCCTTTAATCCCAGCACTTGGGAGACAGAGCCAGGCGGATCTCTGTGAGTTCGAGGCCAGCCTGGGCTACCAAGTGAGTCCCAGGAAAGGCACAAAGCTACACAGAGAAACCCTGTCTCAAAAAAAAAAAAACCAAAAAAAAAAAAAATAATAATAATAACATTATTGTGTGTGGCTGCCACAGTATAATGTGCAGGTCCAAGGACAACTTTAGGGAGTCCGTTCTCTTCTTCCAACTTTATGTGGGTTCCAGGCATTGAATCAGGTCACCAGGCTTGCATAGCAAACACCTTTACCTACTGAGCCACCTCACGGGCCCGGCCTTGGTTGAGGCAGAGTCTTATTTTGTAGTCTAGGTTAGTCTCAAATTCATGATCCCCCTGCCCAGCTTCCCCAAGTGGCGAAAATGCACTGCTATGCTTGGTCGTATTTTGTGGGGTTTGTTGTCGGTGGTGGTGGGTTTCGTTTTTCTGTTTTGTGACGGGGTCTTACGGTGTAGCTCTAGGTGGCCTGGAAATCACTATGTAGAGCAGGCTGAGCCAAATTTTGTTTTTATAAAATCATTTTTTTAAACTTTTCTTAGAAATTTTTAGTTTGTCTTAAATATTTGATTAATTAGTTCTTCAAGTCATTTTCTATGCAGGTTCTCTAACTTCAATGATTAGGCTTGATGGCTCACACCTTTGATCCCAGCACTTGGGAGGCATCCTAGGGAGGTCTCTGTGAGTTCAAGGCTAGCCTTGTCTACATAGTGAGTGCCAATCTAACCAAGGCTATCTATAGTGAGACCACCTCAAAACAAACAAAAAACAACAGGGAGTCAGTTAGTTGTTGTGGGGTGGGAGTAAAGGGTTACCTTTTATAATACAAGGAGAGAGGTAAGTGTGTGTACTGAGCAGAAGCCAACACCTCCTCTCTACCAGAAAGTTCTAGAACACAAAGTAGATATATTTATGGAGGAAAACTGAATTTAAGTAATGAGGAAAGAAGTGTTTTCAGGACACAGTCCACATTTCCACCCTGACTGCCAATTTCTCAAACTAACGTCTATGCCCGTTGCTGTAAGGATTGCCCTTGATTACAGCCTTCAGTGACTATAATTACTGTTGCAGACATCAGGAACATCCCAACTTTTATCTGGGCATGGTGGCTCAAGCCTATGGATCCCAGCACTGGGAAGTAGAAACAGGAGGATCAGGAGTTCAAGGCCAGCCCAGGCCACAGGAGACTATGTCTCAAAAACAACAACAACAAACAAACAAACAAACAAACAAACCCAACCAAACAAAAAAACTTTAAAAATGTAAGAAAAATCCTGGCTTGTAACTAAGAGATAATCACCACATAACAACTCTAAGTGCATTTACATTTACAATTTTAACCCCTTAATCACCACCTGACAACTCCAAGTGCATTCACATTTACAATTTTAACTCCTTGCAAACAGATGACGGCAAGGCAGCATTATATTATTATTTGTTCGTTTGTAAATGTTTTTATTTACATTTATCAAATGACTTATGACCTATAGAAATAATCATTTTGGAGACTGACATAAATATATAGAACAAACTGTTATGGTGGTACACCCCTGTAACTCATCTCCTTTGGAGACTGGGGCAGGAGGATCACAGGTTGGGAGGCCAATCTGGGCAACTAAATATGATCCTGTGCAAAATAAGATATAACAAAATAAAAGGAACTTGGAATATTGTTTAAGGGTAATGCTTGGCATTTTTGAGTCCTTGGTTCAACTGTCAGCACCAAAATAAATACATAAATTAATTACTTAATTAAAAACTCACAGCACACACACACACACACACACACACACACACCTTCTCCCTTTACATAAATTAAATGTGTATGTGCCTAATACTAACACAAAACATAGCAAGAATTCAAACCAAGACTTCAGGAACTTACAAAGTTCAGAATACTTAGTAACAAGAAAGGAATAAAGATGCCTGCTGCCAAGCCTGACAGCCTAAATCCAGTTCCCAGGACCCATCTAGTGGAAGGAGAGAAGAGACACCTACAAGCTGTCCTCTGGCCGCGTACACGCAGGAATAAGACACCAAAAAGGATCAAGATTAGATTCCTCTCAAGGAAACCCAGTGAAGGGCAAAAAGTGTGTAAGGAGAAGGGAGACTTAGATATGTTCATAGAGCAAAGGAAAACAGTAAGAAGGGGAGAGGTATCGGAGGAAAAGACATCCAGGCATAAGGAAGGGTCTGGGGTAGACAACACAGTCTAACACATGTGCCAGTGTGCCAGCTGTTGCTGTGAGAAATGCCATGGCCAAAAGCTACTTAGCAGCTCGCTTCCCTTGAGTTGCTCGGTTGCTTTCCTTACGCAGCCGAGGCCCACCTGCCGGGGTTGGTACTGCCCACGGTGGGATGGACCCTCTTCCATCAATTTGCAATCAAGGAAATGATCTACAGACATGCCCATAGGTCAGTCCAATGGAGGGGTCCCTCAACTGAGCTCCCCTCTTCCCAGATGTGTCGGGTTGACAGCTGAAGCTAACTGTGAAAGCACTATAAAATTCCTGGGAAGGAGAGAAACGGGGAATTTGCGTCGAAAACAGAGGTCGTACAGCAAGGCCCAGGCTCTGTAAATAAAGCAGGAAGCAGGTGATTGTTGAGAGCAAAGGTTAGAGCTAAAAGTGGAAGAACTCTGGTCAGAGCCTTTAGAAAAGGGCAAGAGTTTGTCTAGAAAGCCTGTTGTAGGGCATTAACAGAGTGAGTGTGGGGCGCTTTCAGAGACAAGCACAGGCTCAGGGAAGACCCCTGACTCGACAGTCGCTTTTTGGTAATATCTAGAAGTGATGACGAAGTTGAGGCTTCCCATCGCTCTGCTGAACGCCATGAGTTGATGGGCACTTGATGGGGGCGGAGGTTACTTGGAGAAAGGGAAAAGCAGAAACAGATTTGAGTAGTGGGCAGATATCACATGAATCTATCATCTTCGGGGCATTCTGATTTCCCATTTCTGGAAACAATTTCCTAATCTATAGTCTCAATTTTAATTTCTATTTGTAACATCAGAGTTCAGTTTTCCAACAGTCTATAAAGCATCTCTGCTTTAATGCAGCATATTTAATTTTTAATTATTAAAAATCAATTCATTTTATTACATTGATCTAGTGTGTACACACACACACACACACACACACACACACGGACACGGACACGGACACGGACACGGTACACATGGACACGGAACTCATGTGGAGATCAAGGCACTGCGTGGTTTACAAATCCTTCCGCCACGTGAGCCCCAGGAGTTGAACTCGAGTGC